AGCAGTTGCACTTGGCAGCTGGCAGACTATTAAATCAAGGCACGAACTATCGATGAACCCGAAAAGACCTAACCCCAAACCCAATTCCATGCTTGGTTTTTATTTTGTGCTTGTTGTTGCACCCCAGTCAAAGCCGTTACGTGCCACATTTGGCTGCAAGCCAGACAGTTGCAGCTGGCCAAACAGACAGAAATAAAGGAACTTTTTAATAGCGAGCCGCACCCTACGTGTTGGGTGGTTGGGCTAGGGTCGGGTTGGGTTGGGTTGGAGCTCTAAGCGTAGGGATGTGTGCATGTCAAATCAGAATGTTGGCTTTATATTATCCGAAATTGTAGTTCCCGACGCTAGCTGAAAGCCCGGCACGTAATCCGAACCGCACAAAAGTCGCCCACATGCGCGCATATTTGCTTAGAGCCAACAAATTGGAAGGCAGCTCCAGCAACGACCCGGCCTGGCCTGGTCTGGCCTGGCCCTGCCATTAGCCAATCCATCTCAGCACACACATTTGCATAGTCCCCCTAGAGGCGCCTCCGACGATAATTGCATGAAATTATAATGCAGCCATGCGGCTTGTCGAGGCGCCGCACTGCCCACACATAATCCCATGCCAGCTGCTGCTGATACCCTGTAATTTGTGGACTTGGTCTGCCATCTAATCTCCGGTCTCCCTCCATCTCTCTCCTCTTGCAGAATCATCGCGGCAGCAATGCGAGCGAGGAGCGCGTGCCACAGCCGCATTCACCACATGATGGCCATGCACATGGCCACGGCCATGGACACAATGGTGGACTGCAGCATTCGGGCTCGCGTGCCACGTTGCGGCATTCGATGAATCACTCGAGCAGCTCCGTCTCCGGGTCCGCCTCGAGCTCGACGCCAGCGTCGCCGCAGCTGAGCGGCGTGGTGAGCGCAACGGGCGGCCAGCTGCTGTCCAATGGACACCATTACCAGTCGCAGTCGTCCGTCTCGTCGAACTCGTCGATCGTGTCGGCCATACCCGCCTCGCAGCGCCTGCTGGAGGACGCGCTGGCCAAGTCGGCGCCCTACCCGATGATCCTGCTGCCCCTGCACGGCGGCTACTGGCTGGATGGGACCGAGCACGAGTGCAGCTACGATGCGCGCGGCAATCCGCAGCTGCCGCAGACCACCTGGATGGCCAAGTTCGAGACGGACGACACGGCCAAGTGCTACAGGCGCTTCTATGCGGCGCGCGAGCACTCCAACCTGGTCGGCCACGACGAGCAGCTGGGCCCGGTGCTCATCTCGATCAAGACGGAGAATGTGGCCAACCAGGAGCACATGCGCATTCTGTTGCGCCTGCGCACTGGCACCATGCACGAGCTGATTCCCGTCTCGTGCCTGGGCGCCCAGCCGAGTCCGGCGAAGATGGTCCGGCTGCTGAACGAACAGATCCAGGTGGACAACTTTATGCCGGTGCTCTGCCCCAAGGCCTCGCAGCTGATCAGCGTCTATGATGAGCATGTGCTGGTCTCCCACTTCAAGTTCGGCGTGCTGTACCAAAGATATGGCCAGACCACCGAGGAGGAGCTCTTCGGCAATCAGCAGACCTCGCCCGCCTTCGAGGAGTTCCTCGACGTGCTCGGCCAGCGCATACGGCTCAAGGAGCACAAGGGCTATCGCGGCGGCCTCGATATACAGAACGGACACACCGGCGACACCGCCGTCTACGAGGTCTTCAAGGAGCGCGAGGTCATGTTCCATGTGTCCACCCTGCTGCCCCACACCGAGGGCGATCCGCAGCAGCTGCAGCGCAAGCGTCACATTGGCAACGACATTGTCGCCATTGTGTTCCAGGAGACGAACACACCCTTCTCCCCAGACATGATCGCCAGCCACTTTCTGCACGCCTTCATCGTGGTGCAGCCCCTGGAGCCGAACACGCCGCACACCCGATACAAGGTGAGCGTCACGGCGCGGGATGATGTGCCCTTCTTTGGGCCGACGCTGCCCAGCCCGGCAGTGTTCCGCAAAGGCCAGGAGTTCAAGGAGTTCCTCCTGACCAAGCTGATCAATGCGGAGAACGCCTGCTATAAGGCGGACAAGTTCGCCAAGCTGGAGCTGCGCACGCGCACCTCCCTGCTGCAGAACCTGGTCGAGGAGCTGAAGGAGAAGACTCGCGACTTCCTGGGCGCCGATCTATCGCAAACCCTAGCCGGCAGCCCCACCCCAGAGACGCCCAAGTCCGAGAGCACCGGCAGCGGCGGCGGCGGCGGCAATGCGGGCACCCGCTTCATAGACACCGTCAAGAAGGCGCTCATCATGCGGGTGCGCTCCCAGAGCGTGGACACGGGCAACGGCGCTCATCCGGACAAGTTCAGTGTCAACACCAAGGTCGGCACGCTCAACTCCAAGAAGGAGCCACAGCCCGAGACCCAAACTCCCAATCTGAATGTAAGTCGGGTCGGACCATGTCGTGCTGGACTTTTGCTAATGCCCACTCTCTCTTTGCAGACCTGCAGTCGCACGGCCTCCAAGTCGTCGTCCAAGTCAAAATCCTCGAATGAGTCCACATCCTCCTCGCCGGACATCACCTCACGCCCGGCCAACAACACCCACAACATCAACAACAACAACAGTGCGCATCCAACCGCTGCGAACGTTGCCCAACAACAGAATGGAGGAGGTTCCGCCGGCGGAGGCGGAGTGGCTGCCGTTGCAGTCAGCGCTGCTCAGAATGGTGGCATTGTGGGCGTAGCCGTGGCAACAATGTCCGAAACGAGCGACGACTCGAGCCTGAACAGCGTCGACCTGGACCCGATGATGGGTCACCTGGACGGCGGCGCCGCCTACATAGACAGCGACACGGGCCTGGAGAGCATGAGCTCGGCGGAGGCCACCACCAAGGCGTGCTCGCTGTGCCTCGAAGGGGTGCAGGGCACCATCATGGGCAGCTCGCCCAGCAACGAGACCATCATGATGATCGAGAACCTGCGCCAGGAGGTCACGCGGCTCAAGTGCGACAAGCTCGATCTGCTGCGTCAGAATGTGGTAAGTAGAGATTAGGCGGAGCAGGAGCTGCAGCTGGAACTGTCCACTAATTGTTGCCCTGTATTTTTCAGACCTGCCAACGCGACATAAAGCGACTGCGCGAACGGGAAATGTCCCTGCAGGGCGATCTGGCGGCAGCAGGACGCGAAATCCTGCGTCTTCGGGATCTCCTCAAGGAATATATGCCGGATACGGCCGCGGCGCCGCTCTCCATATCGCCCATCTAAGCGTCTAACGCGAACAAAAAACCCCGCTCCCCCCCATTTGAGAGCTGAGGGAATGCGAGAGGAAGGGAGAGCAGGAAGAAGCAGAAGGAACCACTGTGCCGTGTCTAACACCTTGGAAGCGTCGTTTTGGCTAGTTTCGGGGCAGCCCCTGTATTATATTTAGTTTGCATAGCTGTTGGGAACTCGAAGAGATCGTAGAACGCGGAGATTGAGCTTAAGTTGTGGTCGAGCGGGGGACAGAATTATTATTACCGTTAGTAGATATATATATATATATAAAGATATATGTATAACAGTTACAAACTAAAAAGATAAACAAAAATCAAGAAGAAGAAGACGAGGAGAAAACAACACAGAACACAAAACTCAAAAAGTTACACCAAATATATAGTCTATAAGTCTTTAAGCATATTTAACGCAATGTTAACCCTAACCCCAAAATTTCCCACAGACGCAAAACTAATCCTTATCATAAGTAGAAAGAGAGAGACGAAGAGAGAGAGACAGAGAGAGAGAGAGAAAAAGAGCTATCGATTAGCGTACATCACAGTTACAGTTACAGTTACAGTTACAATTACAGTTACAGGTTAAACGTTCACGTAATAGCTGCATACAATTTATTCCACAATAATCAACACGATCAAATTAAATCAAATATCTAATTAGTAGCAAAGTTTTGTGTAGCGTTTCGCAAAATCTGGCTACACCGTTTTCGTAGTCGCACGGAACCTGGCAACCCTGTGACGCTCGTTTTATTCATCACAAACCTCATCAGCAATTAATAACCAATTACAAAAGTGAAAAAGAAAAATATACAACAAAAAGATAACGAAAGCTAACTAAATTTATAATATATGTGTATTAATATATACATTTACATATATGTATATCGATTATGTGTGTGTTTTAAGGTTAAAGCCCTCGATAGTTTTTAGCTGCAATCGATAAATAATAAACAAACCAACCAACCAACTCTTAACAATTAAGTTTAAGTTGCTTTAAATACTTCTAATTACTTTAATTATTTAAGTTGAGCGCAGCAGACGCTGCCTTTTGTACATATTATTTTTACAAAAGCATAATTCTCGATCAATTGATCTATCGATCTAACGCAATTAACTATGCAATTTAACGACTAGTTAATAAAAGAAGTAAACAAAAAACGATATCGATAAACGATAAACGATTTAGCCCAGAAAATGTGCAAAAGTTTCGTATTATTTTGAGCAAAGTGGCAAAAATACAAAGCAAAAGAACACACACACATTTAGCACACAGAATCAAAGAGTTCTTATCGAGTTTTCGACACAATTATGCAAGGAAAATTTATCTATGAATTCTACCATAAGTACCACGAATTGTTTTTGTTGAGAAGCATCATCATTTTTAATGTGTAAAAAAAACCAACAAATATACATATATTATTATATATATGCAAAATATATGGAATATATACATAAAAAAACAAATAATATAATTAGTTTTTTCTGCTTGAAACTGTTTTAGTTAAGAAAGTTTTGTATATTTAAATAACTCTTGCTTGCTTTCAGAAAAACCACAATTCAAATGTCGCGCCATTTTATTTTTTATTACCCAGCACTGTATGTAGCTAACAGCTTTCTGTAAGCTGCCGCATGCCGAGCAGGGTGACCAGCTCTGAGAGCTTTTAGTCATTAAGCTCTTTGCAATGTACAGCCACACTGAATAACTGTTTATTATTCTGCTTTGTTTAGTTTAATTTGCGCATAATCAGTTTTTGCTCATTTTTAATTGTTGTGAAGTGTGCTTTGTTTTATTTTTTAATTTAAATCGTTTTCGGTATTTTCACAACTGATCTCAACGCTCTGTTAGAAGTCTGCAGAATAATGTTGCTCTCCCTGCAGCTGTTGCGCTCTGCGCACGCTCTCTCTGTCACACACATTTGCTTATTGTACCCTGTGAGTGAGAATTATAAAGAGCTTATTAGTTGCTTTTACAGTAAGTAAATCATCTTCCCATGATAAATATTCTGCTTGTTTTTATTTAAAATAGCACGAAATATTAATGTTTGAATTAAAATTAACAACACATGCACATAAAAAGTAATATATTATATCTATTGAGATATATAATAAATTTCGCTAACAGGGTATTTCATAGTGTAGACGGTCATACAATCACATTGTCTGGCTGCTTATATTGCCTAAGGTTTATTTTCAAACTCTCAAAACGCGAGAAACTTTTGCCGTGGACGGACGTTTCGTCGCCGTCGTCGTCGCGTGGTGGCTTCAGTTACTTGAATTTGAGAACTGTTATTGTGTTTTTAGGCGCAGCAAAGGTGCGCTCAATACGTACCAATAGAGTATTTGGCGACGCGGCGTCGCTGAATAAAACACCTTTCACCAGTTCTCAAAAATTGAAATTAAATCAAAGAATCGCGTGTGTTTGACAAGAAGAAATAGTGCGAAAAATTTGCCAATCAAATGCAAATACAAAAACTGTGAACGACTTTTGTTTTTGCATTTGGTTTTGTTTTTGTTCTTTTTGGCGGCGGCTGCTGTGTACGTAAAACATAAAAACGATTCTCATTAAAATAATAACAACAACAACATTAACACATAAAGTGTTGTGTGTGTGCGTGCGAGTGGCTGAGTGGCAATTTTTTCATCGTTATTACTTCATAACAGAGCGCAGCGCACGCTGCTGCTTTTGTGCTCTCTCTTGAGCTGTGTGTATATCGCTCTCAGCAGCAGCCGCACCGGCAAGCAGCCTCATCAGTGGAGGGTTGCAGCAGCAGCAGCAGCCGCAGTCGCGGCCACAACAAAAAGGTAGCAGCAAAGCTTTGGCTAACCCTCGCTCGCTCTCACTTGCGCTCTGTCTATGCTCACCCTCGCACATAACCGCTCAGCGGCCAAAAGGTATTTAATTGTATTTTATTTTATTAAAGTGACAAATAAGCAAATAATTGTGAGTGAATGCGTCTTTGTGTGTGTGAGTATTCTAACATTTTAATGTGTGTGCGTAAGCAAATGAATCAAAAAATTTAAAACGCAAACAAATAATTAAATAACAAAAGCTGCCAACAGCAACAACAACTAAATAAATAGAACAGAGAGAGAGAGAGAGAGAGAGAGAGAGAGGCTGTTGTCACTCGCATCTTGATCAGCAGCTCTCACAGCTGAGCCGAGCTTTGTCTGTGCGTGTGAGTGAGAGGGTGGCATCACAGCTTGAGATGCCGTAAGCATTGCCGGCAGCAGCAGCTGCTGCTTCTTCTTCTTCTTTCTCCTCTTCTTACTCTCATGCATCTTATGTTGCCGTTGTTTTGGTTTATTGTCGCAATAAAACGATAATTAACGTTAAATTTATTGGGAAGGGCGCAGCTCTGGGTGGGTGGGCTTTACACTTGAGCTGGCAGACGCTGTTTGTGGGGGCGTGGCACGTCTGAGGCGTTACGTGCACTCGACTAATCAGCCGCCAGCGCCGTAAGTTAGCGATTAAGTCGGGTCTTATCTGCCAAAGGTGGTGAGAGGGGTTATAATGGGTGATGAAGCATTGAGGATGAGGTGGAGAGGGGGGGGGGGGGGGGGGCTACACTGTAGATGCAGTGCGCAACGGAGGTGAACGAATCTTAGAGCTAGATAGCAAAATGAACCGCAGGTACAGTTAGGTCAAAGTTGCACAATAAAAAATTATCAGCATATGGACTTGAATATTCCGAATGCAATTAAAAAACTAATCAAATAAACATTATCACACAACACGCGTCCTTAACGACGGGCCCCTATTCAAAAGTCTCTCCAACCAACTTTTTCCTCACAAAGTATCTATTATGGCATATCAGACTTGAATAGACTCTACACACCTCCCAGTAGGCTCTCCTGCTGGGGTCTATAAGCATTAGATGGGTTGCTTATCATCAGATAAACCCGGACAATATTAAGCGATTCCTCTGCTAACCCATCTGGTAAACTCTCAAGTTCCTCATATAGTCTCTTGATTTCTGGATATATAGAAGACGGATGTCTGCTTATTAGATCCCGTTTAATTCAAAAATATTCCTTTATCAAATTTCCCATGGCAAGTGATGGAATTTTCAGAAATCTTATCAAAAGTCTTCTGGGACAATAGTTTGATTCTTCCAGTATTGAATTGAATTCTTCAAAAAGTCTTTTCTTGATATATTGAAGAATTCTCAAGGATTGATTGAGAGATCCTTTTTTTACACTTCGGTCACATATAAGACGAATTTGAAGATTTTAGAATAAAGTAGTTTTTACAGGACTATTGTAGGGTTTTACCGAAATATACCTCAAATGGAACTCGAATGAAATGGTTCTTGGTAGACTTTCTGATTCTTTCGGAACTTTTTTTTTGGGAATAATGCGAGATAATATGATTTGCATGTCCTTTTAGGCTCCTATTTCAAGCTGCATTTCACAGATGAAGTGCTTCCATTTTGGCCAGGTGCAGTGTGTAATGCGGCATTGAGAGAGCATCAGGTGGCCATTTAATTGGGCGTGCGACGTGGCTCCTCGTACATCTCTGCTAATGTGCCATATGCCTCGTGTAGCCGCATAACACGCCCATTATCTTGTCTCACGTTTGTTTTATGCGTCTCCGACGCTGGCGTCTGTTTTCCTCGCTCCACGCCCCACGCCCCACCAGGCAACCACTCAACAGACCAAACAACAAGCAAATAATTTTCGGGTGGGGGGCGGTCGTCACCCACCCAGGCGAAGGGCCACTGAGTGGGTGCGTGGTCGGCTGGGTGGGGGAAGTGGCGACGGGGGGATGTTACCACACGCACATATTTCAGGTGCACAAAAAGGGCGCATAATTTTCAGTTTAATTACAATAACCACGCGGCGTCCACAAACAACTGAAGCCCCACTTGGCCCGCCCAGCGGTGGTTGCCTACTTCTTAAGTCGTGCAGCCCCGCAGGCCCCTACCTCCTGGCGACCTCTTGAGTTTTCACCTGGCAGCGAACCTATTAATAAATCTCATTAATAAATTAAACGTTTTAACGCAGGAAATTCCCGTCTTTAGATTTCCAGCATCTAGTCCCACGCCCCCCACACACACTCACACGCCATCTGGCGGCGCGTTTTGGCATATATATTTTTCGGGTTATTCTATGCCCTTGCAGAGGGTATTACGATTATAATATCATCTTTACAAAGACTACTGGATATACACTAACTTGTTCAGCTTTAAAGATATTCATACATATTTTTGGCATATAATCTAAGGCTTATTTTATACCCTTGCAGAGGGTATTACGATTATGTCTTAATCGATTATATAATCTCCCAAAAAGGCAATACGATTTTACCTGGCTCTTAACTGAAGATATACGTACATGTTTCTTGGGTATATCATTTTTAGGTTATTGTGTCCTAATCCATAATATAATCTTTAAAAAGCATTGAGCTTTTTTGATATTAATTTATATTTTTTGAGCTATTTTAAGCCCTGACAAAGGGTATTACGGTTATTTCTGTAACCATAATATAATCTTTGGAAAGACGATTCCATATAACCAAACTCTTATAGCTTTATTGATATTCGTTCATATTTTTGGGTTGTTTTATGTCCTTGCAGAGGGTATAACAATTACATCTGAATCTATAGTATAATTTTCATAAAGACTTCTCGATATAACCTAATTTTTTTCTCTAATTCGTACATATTTCATACGATATGTTTTATTTTGAAATCACGCAGATGGAATCTCTTTATCATAAAAACCATTGTATTTTTGAAGATACATACATGTATATATTCCATATATTCCATATAAAACTGAATATCTTAAGCATATTATATATCTACCATAAGAACAAACGTGCGAAATTCCAGTTTTTTCTTCTGAAAATCTAAATCACTTTTCTTTCACAATCGGAATGCTAAGTCATATACAATTCATATGGAACAACGCCCACAAATTAGGTTCTTCGCACAAATCCGTTTTTTAGCCTGGATTATTAACTTGCAAATCCCCCCCCAAAGGGTATTCAATGTGCGGCAACCCAATTAATAAATTTTCCACTCTTGTTTATTGTTTTTCCTTTTCGTTTGCGCGCTCGTGTTAGATGCTCGTCCCTTTCGTTTTCTCTTTATTTGGCTCGGGACGTGTTTTAAAAATAAACCATTAAGTAGATATAAAAATATTGTTATAATTTTATTCGAATGCCTGCATTTTCAGCGCTTCTCTAGTGCAGCGTGCCACGCGCCAAGAATGCGGGGCATCTAAGAGTTAGGGGAATGCCCCTAACCCGTCACAACCCGCAGCAATTTCCTTTGCGCTGTTATTTGGGTTCAGGTGGAATTTGATGTGGAATCACGTAAAATGTTCATTTCTCTTCATTTTTGGCTATTGTTTTCACGCCGTCTGACTTTTATATATGTATATAGTATGTAATGTACTGTTATGCCCCCAGTCGGAGTCGGGCCCATTTGGGGCATTACCTCTGATAAATTCGACTTCATTATTGGCGGAATTATCATGAGAATTGCGAATGTTTTTATGCAAATTTCATTTTTGCACCCCGCCTAAGGTCGATGAGTACATTTGCAACTATTTCTGGGTCGAGCTGAATGTGTTTTTCTTTTTTATTTTTTCTTTCTGTTTCTTTTTGTTTGGTTTTGTTTTTGTGGTTGCACCCACTGAATTTATTTGTGTATTTAGCTCTGGGCTCTGGCTGTAGTATTTTCTGTGTGGCATAATCAAATATGAATACGACACGTATGAAAGCAAAAGTTAAAACTTGTGGAATACAACCTTACAATTATTTTTATTTATTTTTTTATTTAGTAATTATGCGGTTTTGTTGTTAATGATAAGAAACTGTTGAATAATGTGGGGATACGGTATAGTTTATTTCAAAACGTTTTATCATCACAGTTCTAAGAATAATAAAGGTTATCGAGAGTTGGGGTTTGCTATAATTGCATAATTTCTTACTAATATCGTGAGTTTATCGATGATATGTTGATTTGGGCTGACATTCATTAGTGAAAGGGGAAAGGGAAAATATTGCGTAAAAGAGAACTCCGGGCAAAGGAAGAAGAAACAGATCAGAGAAACTAAGATATACTCAGCCCTCTAATAGAGAAGAACGTGTGTCGAAAAATAAGTAAAACGAGAAAGTTCGACACGCCGAAGATTTAATACCCTTGTAGACACTTCGGTTTTGCAGATATGTGACAATAGTGAAGCTGGTAAATGCTGACTTTGTTGAACATATCTAGGAAAACAAAATATTTTGTCATATGAAAGACTACTTTTCAAACGATATTTCTTATGTGACAGTTATATGATATGGTGGCCCGATCTTGTTAAGATTTTGCATAGTGAGATTTATAAATGCCGAGTTGAATCAAGAATTCTTGATAATCAAAAGAGTTTTCCATATCTTTTCTTTCACAATTATATGATATAGTGGTCCGATCCGATCAGTTCCGACATATGTACTGCCTGCAACAGAAAGTCGCGCCTATGCAAAGTTTCAAGACGAAATCCTTAAAACTGAGAAAAACTAGTTCGGTCGGACATGGCTACATCAACTCTATATCTATATCAACTGTTGATCCGTGAACTAGAATATATGCTATATATATTTTATTTTACTTAATGGCGTCGCAGACGTCTTCTTCTATGCGTTACAAATTTCATGACAGAATTAAAATCGTACAAAATAAGAGTAAAGGAGAAGCTCCGAGATATGGTCAAATATTCCTTTCTGCAAATGTTTATAATGCTTAAGTATTTGATTTCCCATCACTATCTCTTTATTCTATCTACGGAACACTCTATGTACTAGTATAAATTTCAAATCCTAGTTAAAAGTTGACATACAATTTCTCCAGGATTTGTTCAGGATATTACTCCGCACAATTTATATATTCACTGTCCAT